AGTCTTCTGTTACAATTCTTTATCCTTATGGATATATGTATTTACAATGTCTTTTTTTTTTTAACACTTTGGCTGGATACATATATTAAAGTGGTACTTTCCGGTGTTTATTAGCATCGAACTCTTTCTGTCGCTCCATTTTATTTTATTGCGACTTACATATCAGCTAAATCGAGACGTGCTAAAAGAATTAACAGTAATTGCAAAGAAAAATCGATGCTTAAGAAATCCTGTTGTATCGTTATATTATCATTTATTGATCAACACTGTAGGAATACAAGGTGCTACATCATACATATGTATATCATACATGTCCATCATACACATACTCGGGAGTTTTATAACTGAAAACTTGTTCTATACATCATATTAAACGCACCAACATCGAGAAACCACAAAACATGGATACATTTATAACGACAAAGTTTTCTCTTAAATATAATGGATGTGAAACTTACATAAAAAATTCAGTTTACATGTTTTATAAATAAGTGTATCAAAGTTTACATTTTAGATTTCGCGAAAAAATATTGCATGCATACATGGAAATTCAATAATATCGATCGCACACATTGATAATAGGTGTGTCGAAGGTAAAGATACATCTATTTTCATACCGCTACCACTTGCCTTTCGCGACAACGCGACACTAACTCTGCTGCACCGTGTTTGTATAACTATATACATCAATTTATATTACACAAATCCATCTTCTATACATCACGCAGGGAGAATGGGAGTTCGTCAATGGTAAAGAATATAAAGTCAGAGAAACTTCGTAAGCGATCAGCTGCTCCCGATGTAATATTATGTAATTGTGTATGGTATTTTTATTATACTTCGTAGGTTCAGTGAAAGTGCGACACCACAGAGTGGTGGCGGATCGCTCAAGTCGGATAGTAGTGGCGAAAAGAGATGGTAAGTGCGGGCCCCAGAGTATGGGCACCAGCTACCTATACCGCTCGCAGTATATTCTGTATCACTCGACGATATGCCATACATTTTTACATTTCAGATTATGTATTGTTATCTATATATAAAGACACAATGTGCACGACTTGTGCACGTTCATCACGACGTAGCGTTAAACACAGTTTTGGTATCCTTGTACTTGCCACCTTTCGCTAAGCGAGAATCTATCAGTGAATAGATAAAGGGAGAATTTGCACGTCCCACGTTTCTTGGAATAATTTTACGCGGAAGAGATAAATTTTGCTGCAAAGAGCTTTGTCAGAATACTCGTACTAATGTATAAAATAAAGCACTTTGTAGCATTTTTCTTCTATGCAAAATTATCTTTGAAAGAAAGGGATATGTAAATACTTTGTTTATCCTACTGCACATGCAAATTCTATGTAAGCTTATAATCACGTCGTAAAAATGAATGACTTTTCAAGTAAAAACACAATATAAATTGATAGTAAATAAATTTGACGACAGCCGTTAGATAATTACATATTGCTATAATCACAGAGTGAAATCTGATTTGCACGATAAGAGTCTAGAGAGACTTAACTATTATATAGTATCAGATAAAAATTTCATTCAGAATGAAGAGTGCGTTTACAATGACATCGATAACAAAGATATATTATTTATCTTATGATGACACGATAGCGTAATTTATATGCGCAACGTTTATCATATCGCAGGCATGCGGAAAAGTTATAATTTATTTCAATTATGCTTTTAAATATTTTGTTTGTACATTTTTATAGTATACAATTTTGTTTATATATTCGTAGTATAAAAAATTATATGAAAATAGAGAATATGTAGAAAAAGATTTGTTCATGTAACATATTAAAAGAATAAATAAGATATATTACAATACTTTTTAGATTTTAATCCAAAACTGTGTTATTTTATATATTATAAAACGCGTTTCTTTCAAAGAAATAACGTAACGAATCTTGTAAAAGAACAAATTAAATATCCTAATTACTACGAACAATCATATAGGTATATGTACTTTGTAAATATTGATCAGTTTTTATTACTTAGAAAAATAAAATATTGACATAAAAATTTGTTTACTATATAATAAATAATTAATAATGTGTAAAACAAATTTTAAAAAAAGAATATCGCATTTATTTAATTGTTTATCAAAAGAATGGCAAGTTGAAATATTTAATTATTTTATTTATTTGAAAACGTGTTGTTTTTATTTTATCTTATACGTAAAAATTGCTTAATGAATCGAAAGAATCTTTCTTTTTTAATGGTTGACATAAAATTATAAGTAGATAATATTACGATTGTACTACTAAATTTAATTGTAGGCAATTTTGTAAAGGACATACATTGCTGCATTTTTACTACTTGTTTACTTATCAGATTATTTTTGTTCTAGTAAGTTCTATAACTATCATAAGTAGATCATTACATGAGGATAAACGCGTCATGTTTTATGAAGAAAAACCATCTTATATAATAGCATAAATACTTCACACTCATATATATATTCCATCTATAAAAAAAATCTTGCACATATCCACGTGCTGACTCATTCGATACGATGCTGTTCTAGTGTTCTTAGTGATTTGATATGCGAAAGATTTGATCAATTATGTTGCATACAAGAAGTTTGTATCTTAACGAACTAGCGAACGTATTTATATATACGTATAATAATGAACACATTTTCTCAAGGTAATATAACATAAAATATGTACAAGAGATAATGAAATATTCGAGCTTCATGAGAAAACAATGTAGGATAAGCTAAAGTTGAGCAAAGGTTGTCGCTATATAGACTCATTACGAAGTAAATGTAATTATAATAAAGAAATTTCTTTTTTCTCAAATTTTGTATATTTACTATATAGAAATTAAATTATTACGTTGACATTTTTATTTATATAATACAATAGCAATAGCTAATGAATAATCCCTTATATTTTTCAGATCCTTGTACATATTTGATAGATATTGCTTTGTTGCTATTGAATAATACGTTGTAAATAGTTATCTTTACGTGGATGTGATTGTCTGTATTTAATTAACAATCTATGTGCCAAGATATAATTTTAGCAAATATTGAAGCATGTTTTATTAATATATTATGCAGTTAACATTAAGCTGCTTTGCATTGCTACTTAATGTTATTTATCATGTACAAGTTTATTACGATTTTATTATTTTGCGAGTTCAAGATTGTTAATTATATATGTAAATATTACAATTATAATAGCGAATATACTTATGTATAAATAAGTTATTTGGAATGAGTATATTTTTTAATAATAGTGAATATAGTGATACTTGTATCTGTACCTCGGAAAAAAAGGAATGTATATTCAATATTTTAATATTTGATAATAAAAGTAAAAAGAGCGTTGAACTGTTTTCCAAATTAAGTGTTCAATTCACTACACGATTGAGAGAGAGATTCTTATTATTAAATTATAACTTCTGCATATTGGGGTCTTTCTAAAAAAATACAGATATATATCATGCTGCTAATTTATTATAAATATTTATAATGGAAAGTAAGCTGTTCTTATCTTTCAAAAAAGTCTCTTCTCTGATTAACTTTTATCTTATTTTTATTTGCGTTCTTTTACAGAGAAACGTATAACAGCACAATACAAAGTTCAATAAAATTGACTTTTACTCAATTATCATACAAAGTGCAGATTATTTTAAATATATGACATATTAAAAATCATCGAATCAATTCTCGTTGTATACGATTACATAACGGTTTTAAATTAGAAAAAGAAAACATGATCTTATTCCAGGCTAACCCACCCCAATATCGTTCAATTGCTGGAGACATTCGAGGACAAGCACAAAGTCTACTTAGTTATGGAGTTGTGAGTAATACGTAATTTTCTATTATTCTTTGATATAATAATACCGAAAATATCCGAGATATTGAAAAGGTGAATGTTCCAAATCATATTAGGGTCACTGGTGGTGAACTATTCGATAGGATTGTCGAAAAGGGCTCATACACAGAAAAGGATGCATCTGGTTTAATAAGACAAGTGCTCGAGGCGGTAGACTATATGCACGAACAAGGTGTTGTTCATAGAGATCTCAAACCGGAGAATCTCTTATATTATAGTTCGGACGAGGACAGCAAAATTATGATCAGCGATTTCGGCCTATCGAAGATGGAAGATTCTGGGATTATGGCGACTGCTTGCGGTACGCCAGGATATGTCGGTGAGTTATTGAGAGAACGAGGAGGAAAGAGAAAAGAAAAAATAGAGACGGATTTTAAGCATCGATGATCAAACGTGCACTATTTCGATGATCCGCAGCACCCGAGGTACTAGCGCAGAAACCATATGGCAAAGCAGTGGATGTGTGGAGTATAGGAGTTATTTCGTACATTCTCCTGTGTGGATATCCTCCTTTTTACGACGAGAATGACGCCAATCTGTTCGCACAAATTCTGAGAGGTAACGAAATGAATTTTTAAGCGACAGTTTGCGATAAGATCTGATGCGATTTAATCGCTACTTTTATGATCAATAATCTTATAAGAGAAACTTAAACTAATTCGATTCGTAAAATATTAAATTAATTTGAAATTGCATCTTTAAGGTAGATCTTAAATATTCTGTACAACAGATATTTTTTGTATCTTAATAAATAAAGAGTTGTATAATATTAATATTTGAAATTACGAGTATCTAAAAATAAAAATATACAGTACATAATAGTAAGTAATTTTTAGATACTAAAATATTTGTTTGATTTAAAATACTATTTTCCGCGCAAATACTTATATAAATATGTTTCTGGAATAAATATCTAATTGATATAATAAACTTACATATTCCATAACAAAAAACTAATAATTAGATTATCATAGGTGAATTTGAATTTGATTCACCATATTGGGACGATATCAGTGCTTCTGCAAAGGATTTTATTGGAAAGCTGATGTGCGTCAATGTTGAAGAACGTTACACTTGCAAACAGGCTCTTGCGCATCCCTGGTAAGAATCTTTAGAATCATTTCAGAATGAAAATTACTGAAAGAATTTATTTTGCATATTTGCATATTAATGTAGTAGTAATAAAATTCTGCACTAACCGAGTTATTTTGCGTAAACAGCAAGAATATGCAAAGAAAGCTTTAAATGTAAATTTTAATATATCTATATCTTAAAGTTGCACAAATATTACAAGACCTTATTTGTTCATGAAATGAAATTGAAATATATATGGATTAAAAAAAGTAAGTAGTGATAGATACATTTTTTTAAGCATTTGCTATCCGTTATATTTGAAAAATTCAGTAATTCAATTATCATACTTATTAATGAATAATTACTTGCTTCGGTAATCCAATGATTTAAAATAGTTTAGCAAAATGACAGACTCATTAACAATTAATAAATGGCATCCTATATGATACACTGTATTTGTTATCATACATTATTTCGAAATAATCATTTTATTTTTTTAAATTTGAATGCAAACATACACCTTATTAATTGAACATTCATAGCATAAACACAATATAATATTTTTAGGATTTCCGGCAATGCCGCTAGCAATAAAAATATTCATGGTACTGTATCCGAACAACTTAAAAAGAACTTTGCCAAATCAAGATGGAAGGTTAGTATTGCCGGTTAATTAGCATACTATTAATTGTCTATGTATTTTTACCCATCAAGCGCTATTGGAATATTCTTCTTGTATCATGATTGCAGCAAGCGTATCATGCAGCCACGGTTATACGTCAGATGCAACGGTTGGCGCTAAACAGTGGCCAGCAACAACAGCAACAGGAGAATACAGGCTCGATCGGCCCCTCCAGCGGCAACCCCATGCAATATCGAGAGCAATCGCAGGTTAGCTACAACCAGCACACGGGGCCATCGCCACCGCCCTCGAGCAATCTCAGCAATTGAAGCAAACGCGAGTCGTTGCTCACCATGTCAAGCCTGATGTTTACGAATCTCACTTCTCACTCCATTCCAGTCACTCCCGCCGACTACTCGCCTCCGCTATACATGTGCAACAAACGCTTCGAACTGTGGGGCAACACACGCACTGTCCGCTCTGTCCGCTCTCTTTTAAAACAACTTGTGTCGCAACTTAGGAAGCAACGGAAGCATAAGAAGAGCTGAGCTTTAGGCACCGTTAGAATCACGCGCGCAATAAGAATACGCAAAAGGCAACGTACTATGCGACGTAGCTGTCCCTTTCAAGCTACGGGAGCGATGGGGATAGATTAGAGCCAATTTGCTTCGCGCCAGTGACGCGTACATATACACATATACATGCAAAAACACAATTATTATCGAAAGGCGTAAACTACAATTCGCTTTGGCTGGTCCATGCGATACAATACGATTTATACCCTCTTCTATAACAATACGGCAGTTATGTTCGCTTTATTCTTATGATTTACGACGTTTCCTATGTTACACACATAAGCAATAGCTCGTAGCAGTTCGCTGAATACGTTTCGCATCGATCTGACAGAATAAGAGGCGGTTACATCTCTAGAGATAAGACTTGAAGATTGTGTGTGTCGCGATCATGCCTGCACACTTTGTTAGATCGAATCTGTTCTATATATATTATATAGAAGTATATATACATATAAATATATGCATTACGCGAACAGTACAACGACAAGTTTTTATATTTTATAAAATTCGATGTAATAAGTAGCGCGGCTGTTTGATACAATTCTGTGCAACCTAGAGACCTGTATCATTAGACCTGGGACGAATATGATTCCATACTACGGTTCCTATGTAATTCGATCCTCGCACGCCGTAACATACACTTCGGTACGATAGAGAATATTTCCTATCTACTTACACAAGTCGATGATATGCAAAAACTTAATACCAAAATGCAGACGATGTCGAGAGGTCGCTTAGTGCACAGAGACGTAGCCTGATCTGTTTCTTTGTCTCTCTCTCTCTCTCTCTCTCTCTCTCTCTCTCTCTCTCTATCTATCTATCTCTCTATCTCTTTATCTTCTTTTATTAACGCGTGTTTCTGTATTTTTTTGTGATAACTGAGACATGGCCCCGCTTATATAAATGCTTACACAGACACTTGTACAATGTACTATTTTATGTAATACGTATCCTGTATGTATACTCTCTTTTAACATATACGTAGTGATATTACTATATTAATATAAGGCTCTGAAAGGGATCCGCTAAGCTAGCTTGAAACTTAAAAACGTATATGTACATTTTTCTGCTAACATTAATATATATATATTGCACTACTACTTCTATTTCTACAGAACGTAAGGTGTACATAATGCACAAATACACATCTAAACTTACATAGACTATCTTGCGTGCCTGATTTTAAGATGACATGAGGAACAATTCTGTAATGTTACTATCATATCGTGATCTTAATTATTTTCATATACACATAAAGGTATTAGTTGCTCTGTTATTCGCCTTGATTTAACCGTATACTATAACATTTTGATACTTGTATATTAGTGACTTAGTTTATATACACTTTTTACAATTATTTTATTATTAACAAAAAAATATCACTTATAAAAGTATAGTAATATATTATTTTTTAAACATTGAAAGTGCCACGTTTATAAAGTATACTGTAAAGGCATGCTAGGCAATGGAAAACCGAGCTAATTATTTTTACGCTTGTATCGTTTTATTTTTGCTAAGACACAAGAAGGAAATCGGCTCGAAAGTGCAATTCATTCCTAGTATCGATTATATACAACGCGAGTATTTATCTCATTAATATATGAATCGATGAGAGATAAAGAAAAATGTTACTTAATTACCCTCTGATTTGTTTATCATGTCTTTATTATTTTCACGTGATGTCAGCAGGAATACAATAAAAAATGCTCTCTTTGCGATAACACTAGTCTGCAATAAAATATTGTTAAAACAATTTTAACTGTTTTATAATGTATTCTTACTAGCTAAATACGAAATCGTTTTCCAAATTTGATGTATCACGTTATAGTTTTGAGAAAAATGGTATCAAAAAGGTAAAAAATTATAATCTTGAGTGCTTTCATGATTTTCTAGCCAGTAGGAAATTTTTTTTCTAAATTTTGTTAATGCCATGTGAAAATATCAACTTTTAACTTTAATAAAAATGCATTTTGTTTTGATGTGATTTTTCGTTTTCGAGATATAACAATTTGAAAATAAATCTTTTTTGTCAAATAATGAAAAAGGTACTTTATTCCATTTGAATACTACAGAAAGTAATTGATTATGGAAAATAATGCTTTTTGATTATATAATATAATCGGATCATATTAAATAAAAAAATGTATGAAATTGATTGAAAGTACAATATTTTCAAATTATTATATCTCGAAAATGAAAAATCATATCAAAACAAGGTAAAATGTATTTTAAAGCTAAAAGTAAAATACTTTAATGTGACATTAATAAAATTTAGAAAAAAAATATTTGCTTATAACATCATAAAAATCCTTAAAATCATTATTTTTGCGCTATTTTTTTATTATTATTATATTACGTGGTGGTCAAATGTGGTCAATGGTGGTATTTGTTGAGCATCTAGAAAATTACAGGAAATGGTTATATTCGTTCAGACAATGATTCCAAAGTGTAAACTAGTAGACTAGTAATTTTATCGAATTCGTATCAAGACTGGTAGAACCGAGAATCTTAATTCTTTTTCGCACGAAATATAAATATATGTACAGTGTTGTAATTCGAGTTCAAACGAGAATTTCGTGCTGTTACGTCGTTATTAAAGTAAATTCATAAAGCACATAAAAACCACGCCTTAATCAAAATATATTTTGGTCGCGTGTCCATTCGTGGAAATGCGATTGATTGCTGGAATGAATATCATAATTAAATTTAGTAAATTGGGACACAAGTGTGTATATGCTGAGGCACGCAGCTGAACAATGTTAACCACTGTTTAATCGCAATGCTGAACTTTGCGAAACATATCCACGAGTAAATTCAGAAACTGACTAGCGATTTCTGCGTTTTATAGTTAGTTGAAAGATTTAGAACACTTGAAGCATGTGGCTCTCGTTAAAAGATCCGAGCATCGAAAGATGTAAAAGAGAAAAACAAAAAAAAAGAACGCTAATTGCACTTTATCGAGCGAGCATCTCCATTATTAACAGTGTATTCTCTCTTTCTCTTCGAATTAAGCTATATAATAATCTCTTGGCATTATCATGTTAGGTATCCGTCCGTACAGCGGGCACTTCTCGATGTAAAGGGGTATTATAGAGAATATTATAGAGAGAAGAATGTGTGATCGATGCGATCACTTTGGGGATGCGTTGGAGAACATCTTTCTGTAGTGAATCTTATCTATTTGGAAGATCTTAGCGTTTCGGTTTTGGAACGTAGCCTTTTTTTTAATAGCGGAAAAAGGAAGGAATAATAATCGAAACACCAATTGAAAAAGTTTGTGATTAGACCTCGTACTTTCTATTACTTCGTGTCTCGAATCTCATGTTCTCGATCGCAGCCCTAAACTCAATAACGACGGACACTAGAGCACGGCCGTAGAGTAACTTTACCTGATATGCGATAAAGCGCATAAGTGAATGACGTTTATGATTACCACTAATTACCGTTAATTATACGCTTCTCCAAGTACCTCGGTACGCTGACTCACCGAACTATATTATTGGTGTCTTTCATTGTGTAAATTGACTTCTGAAGTGCCTTGGATGACATGATGATGGTACATTACCATACGTGCCATTAGTAGAAACTTTAGTAGGTGCTTATCACAAGACGTGTTCGAATATCCGTTGCATCGCGCAAGATAAGTTTTTTTTTATTAAGGCTCTTAAATATTTCAAGTGCTCAAGTAGACGTACTTATAAAAGACTTACGTACAGCGATCCGCAAATGCATGTTACACTTATTGTTAGTGTGTGCGAAGGATTAAAAATTGTCGCGGATGTGTTATACGTACTTCTCTTATCAGTACAGTAGCTCAGTAAATAGAATATTATTTTAACCGTGCAGTAATAGTCGTTCGAATAAACACCCCTGCGTTTCATTCAATTTCAGTGCTAAAGTGCTTCGCGTGTAATCAACATCATGTCATCTAATAAGAGAGATTCGCTAGAAAACATTCGTTTTACGCTAATAAACGCATTGTGATGGCTCTGATGAAAATTCTAAAGAAAAATAGAAAAAAAATATATGACAAAAAAATGGGATCTCAAGATCGGAACTTTAGCTTGTATTCAAAGTACCGTGCCACGTGAACAAACACATATCGGCAGGAATACTGTAAATGTGATGTAAAGATAAGCTGATTCTAAGTAGTGACGAGAACGAATTGTTAGTAAAATCTTATCTAAAAAAAAAAAAAAAAAAAAAACTAAAAGTATGTAAAGGCCAATCTGACTGCTGTGTGCATAGAGCGAGAGCGAGAACGAGAACGATAGAAGTATATAGCGTGATGTGCGTATAGGACGATGTCGAAGGTTCTCCTTAACCGTGGATCCTTTGGCATCTGCGCGTACATCATTATTATCGAAACATTTCAAACATTATCTAGAAAGCGAGAGTCGTATCGTATTTGTAACATTAACGCGGTGCGTTAATGCCCAACACTAATATCTTCCTATTGTATTTTTCTCATTGTACACAAGGCTTGGCGATCGTTACGCTAGAAAACACAAACATACAAGGGAATTCATTCGGTGATCGTCTCCCGGGAGTGGGGGGGGGGGGGGGGACGAATTTTGCCGTCTTATTATCGCAAAGAAGTTACAAAGTACAGAAGAAACTCTCTATACTGTAATAGGTAAATATGATAATCGAGATCGATTCGCGCGCCGTTGCCATCGCGCACTTGGCGCCGTAAAGAGAATAATCAGAAAGATAAAATAATTTAAAATGTGCCAATGTTTAACGATGTCCTTTCGGTGATGTTGGATGGCGACAGCTTATTATTTCTTCGTTGTACGCTCGATTCGGTGGTGATGTTACGCGTCTCACTGTTCTATCGGGCTCTGCAACTTGAAAGCTTTCACTCTGTAATATAGCATATGTTCTGTTTACACATTGAGGCCTATGTCTGAGAGAGCGTGTATTTGAGAAAATGGAAAAAAGATACACAGAGAAGGAGAGTAAATCCTACTTTAAATGTTACCTGAAACGCTGCTCTTTTGAGAATGTTATTTTCCGTTGCTGACTTTTTCCGATGAAAGTGAAAAGCTATTCTTTTCGATAAGAAGAATGATTGGCCTTACAAAAGATTAACGATTGATATACATATTTTGAGAGGTAGAGAATTAAGTACTACAGCGAACGGCGCATTAAATGTGCAATTTACTTTTGTTTATGTGATCTTATTTAATTGACAATTGTGCGTGATCATGTGATTGCACAAAGCAAGACGCTATTTTTTGTACGAACTGCTTATATAATTAGAAAAGGAAAAGAATGTCGCATGCAATATACACGTGAAGTACTTTAGAAAGACTGCTATTTCCATCACCAATGAATTGGGGTAATTACAAGTGAATCTGTTATTTCCTCTTTATACGATTTTAGTCTTTTCACGCGTGTATACGCCGTTGGCAACCACAATTTTTCTTTCTTTCGATGACGATTGAAGTTTTTAAATTTCTGTTGATTTATATTTGTACAGATAATATATCGTGTTAATCACATTTAGAAGTGATAAGTTCTCGCTAATACACCAAGAAATATTTTGTTAATGAAATTCAATTTAAAAAGGCGCGGCAATGATAGGAAATGGTACGAACATTGTTTATATGGTAGATAATTGGGAATGTGATAAAATAATAAATGATATTTAATTCTTGACTCAATATAGCCATTTATTAGAACTCCTTTCCGAAAGAAGGAATAATAATTTTCTCGCTAATAATCGTTATAAACTGTTATAGATCGTTTATAAAAATTGGTATGTGGTACTTATGTTTACACATACAAGCTCTGTTATTTGTACATTTTATTTAAATGCGATAACAAGAATGTAGCGTGTCTTATATTTTGTTATTTTTCTCTATATTTCTTATTTAAAAAAAATGTAGAAGTTTCGTGTCACAAAAACATACAAATAATAATACGGTTTGTTAAACGTACATGTAAAACAGCTGCTTTTAGAATATCCTACAGAAACATTACACACAGATAATTCATCTTTTGTTTCTCATTTATATGCGATAAACAATTTAATCTTCACCACAACAGAATGAATAATTTTTACATCTTGTAGAAGAAAATAATGAACGTTAAGTATGGTAAACATTAAAATCTTACAAAGCAGACTTTTACAATGCATCATATATTTAGCTGCTCATTAAATAATTCTTTTATATTACGATTAAAATATTTCAAGCACTTATTGTATACAGAGTATGTCCGATAAAGACCGTAATAACGTTTAAGAAAATAGATTCTCGAGATCATTTTGAGACAAAAATTCTAATATCAAGAAATCGAAACTATAACAGCTTTTAAATTATAAACATTGAAAATTGGCGAAACATATCGTTTAAAGTTCGCGCGTTCAGGTGTTGTACAATGCAAAACACGTGAACGCTTTAAGAGATTCGCTAACTTAAATGCTTTTTTTTATAACATCTTCAAAAAACTATTATATAACTATTAGTTTATATATATATACTATATATATTAGTTAATTATATAAGTTATATAATTAGTATAATTACATAACTCGACATTTTGATATTATTATATATCTCAAAATGATCTCAGGAATTTACCCTTTTAACATT